AACATTATTACAGAAATATACAAAACAATTTGGCTAGTCTCTAGAAAGACAAGTCATGATTCAATTCTTTTAAACACAGCCCCAATACAGACTCCAATACTAAACAAAACTAAGCCTTTGGCCTCATCTTTTATAGAAAGAAAACTATTAAAATACACAAACAATGGACTAATTTCTTTAATGCATCTTCTCAAAGACTAGAGGTTTAATGACCATTCTAGCAAAGAATAGGTCGAGAGTAAAGTAGCTTTTACCTCCATCTCCCATAATATAGTTTTTTCACATGTATTCATCTTATATATATAAAATTAATTATAAATAAAAGAGATAGAGGATAGACTTCTCTTTAAAAAAAAAAAAAAAAAAGAACTAATAAAATAATAATAAGTTCAACTTTAAATAAACAGATTTAGAGTTTTATTTGAATATAAAATATATGTAATATAAACTTATTAGAAATTTGAATCTATTCAATACTCATAAAGTATTATAAAGTATCCAAATTAATAGCAGAATTATTTATATAAAAGTAAAGTTTTAATAAGTTAATATTGTAATTAGTTATTTGTTAAAGGTTATATATAAGTAAACTAAATTTAAAAATTACAGAAATTGGCTAAGTAGTAATAGTAATGTTCAGAAAGTCTAAAATTTAAATAGAATATTAAATTACAATAAAGTATATAAGATTAAGATAATTAGTATTAAAATTAAGAACTTTGTTATAAGTATTAACTTGATTCAAAAATTGAGTTAAAAAATTAATAAAAATAATAATTGTATATTGTTAATAATTATTAAAAAATTGGGAGGTTGGGTCCCATAGCTTACTTGTTAAGCTCTCATCCCCTCACAGACAAGGTTAATGGTTCGAGTCTGGCTAGAGGTAAAAATACTCTATAACCAAAAATGGAGCCTATAATCGGATATGAAGCCCTGTAAAAGTCCAAGTGAAGGTACATGTTTGATCTAAGGAATTTCCAGAAGAAAACCAGTATGGCAGAGCATAGGCACTACTATAGTGAGAAATGTGGAGAATGTCATCAATGTTTGTGGAAAGAATTGGCCTTACCTAATATGGAATCACCTCTGGCATCATAAATTCAAATAGATGTAGTCATGGGATCTACTTCTATTCAGTAGAATTTGTGTCGAGGGTAAAGTAGCCCTAAGGTCTGTTATTAAAAAAATTAAGTTGGTACTACAGAAAAAACATTGAAAATTAGAGACTTTAAATAGTGAACTCACAGGCAGGTTTTAGGTATAGCAATTAGTAGGTAACCTGTAGGCATAACCTTTAAATAGACAATGACTAAAGTTGTACGAGTGGCTAATTGTAGCCTTATTAATATGCAAAATGTAATACCCCCCTACAATATTTGTAGATTGTAAGTCTTAATAAAAGATTACAAGCCATAGATGTCGCTCTTTAAACCTGAAAAAAAAAAATTATTAAAAAATTGAGAAATTAGTTAAAATATATATAATTAAATGAATAGAAAAAAATAAAGTTAAATAAATTGTAATTTAATATTATATTACTAATAGATAATAAGAATAGTTTCAGATACAAAATTTGTCTTCTGGTTTTAATAATAATAATTTGGTTATTAAGTTTTATAATAAGTTAAGATTTTTTATATCATGAGAAATATTTAATTGTATAATTATAATAGTTTGTGTTAGGTAGATATAAGTATTAATAAAGTATATAATTATAAGATTGTTTTATAACTTGATTTTTTAAATAAATAAACCAAAATAGCTGTTTGGCTTTTGGAATTTTGTATATACAGGAAGGAGTGTTTTTAATTTAATAAATATAAATTATTAAATATAGTAAATTGATCAAGATATAGAATACTATGATGCTTAAGTTATTTTTTAAAACTTAAATATTTTGAATATAAAGAGAATAGAGATCTACTAAGATAAAACTTTGTTAAATAATATGTAAAATATTGTGAATTAAATTAAAAATAAATATTATATTAAGGTGTTTAAAGAATTAAATTATTTTAAAATTATTAGTATGTTTGTTTAGTCTATTAATAATAAAATTATTATGTATTAAGATGCTAGTAAATAATTAAAAATTGTCTTAAAGTAGTTAAAACTAAATATAAGTACTTACAGCTAGTTATATGTGTATTTTTATGCCTAATTTAAGTAATTCACTTATATTTTACTATATAAATTCTATATTAGATACCATATCTGCAAGCTAACTATAAGTCTTGTTTATTTAAACTCTTTGTATATATAATTTATTTTGTATTATATAAACATCTTTTAAATAATATTTGGTTTAAGTTCTTAATTCTTATTAGTACCTTTAAAACTATTTTATCTTTGACATAAAACTTATTAAAGTTTACTATATTCTATATACAGCTAATTTAGTTTTATGCAATATATTATAGTTATCTAACATTTGCAATTACAAAGGTTACCTATTTAATTGCTTTATTATATTATTCCTACTCTTGTAGAATTTACTAGAACTATAATATTTATTTTTCTAATATTTTTTTTTATTATTTCTTACTTAAAACTAGAAAACTCTGACTAGACTTCCAATTCTAATAATCTGATAAAATATATTTTTGTATTTTTTTTTCTTTGATAAATCTTTAAATCTGGTTAGTTATATACTTTTCTACATATATTTGACATTTAGTTCATTTTCCAATTAAGCTCTCTAAAATTTAAAGATAGAAAAATATGAAGATTTCCTTTATTTACATATTGAAATACTATCAAATATTTATTATTAGCTGTATTTTAAGTTGTTTATACACTTTAAGATTATTGCCCATTAACCAAAATTTTATGAACTTTTAAACTTATTAAATAAAATACATTTTATAATGTTAATAATTTATTTATACATAATTTATTTATACATAATTTATTTATACATAATTTATTTATACATAATTTATTTATATTGGATCATAAGACAATTATTTTAATCTACTTCTTTTAAAACTCATTTATGAACTAGGTAAAACTTCAATTGCATTTACTAATTTTTTGAACATTAACTAATCTATTAAAAAGAATCTATTCGATTACGTCATTAAAAATATGTAAAATTCTAATAGTTTAGCAATTCTTGAATGTGTGCCAGGTTAGTGGCGCAGCAAAAATTCTTAATTGTAGGGTTAGATAATAAAATTTTCCAACAAATACTTTTATTGATTTTTGAGAAGTAAGTGATTTTTGACAAAACTGACATTTGTTTTGAATTTTCTTGATCTTAAAATCTGATTCGTAGTCCAGGAATTCTGTGCCACAATCCTGCTCACCCACAAAAATTTTCCGGCACGTGATTTTTGCCAATTAGATCGAAGGATCAGGTGTAACGTAAAATCAATTAAGCGAAAAGATTTTAAAGTAATAATTATCATTAGGTTAGGATTAAGGCATAGATTATACTAAAATTTACAAGGAATTTTTTTTATTTGAACGTAGAAGGCTGTTTTATAGGTAAAAATTTCGAGGTAATCGCGATTTTTTAAAAAGACGTGATTTTTACCCCTTAAATTTTCATTTTCACGTGATAATCATCAAATAGCGAGTCTCGTTTTAATGTAACGTTACACGATCAGGAAGATCAAAACAAACCGTTCGTTTTTCAAGAATCGCTTATTTCTCAAAAACTAGCATAAGAAATCACCTTTGCTACGTAAAAGTGAAAATTTGATGGTGATACTGGGGAAGATACCTAATCAGTTAGAATCACGTGCTGGAAAATTTTTGTAGGTGAGCTAAGGGGTTGGTTGCATCGGTCCTAAAAAAGACTAGTCACCCGGACTGGGTCATCACTGTAACACTTATAACACCCAATCAAATTGATTGATCAGATATGTTGTAGATCATATGATATTTTATCACATTATATTTTGCTTAATTAGGAAAAACAACATCGGTATAACAGGAGGGAACGTATCCGATCCAAAGTGAATCCCACACACGGTGTGATCAATTAAAGCTAAAATTATTTATTTTAGTTTTAAATATTTTAGGTTTAAATGATCACACTGTGTGTGGGATTCACTTTGGATCGGGTACGTTTCCTCCTGTTTATTTACATATATCTCATTTTGAGATAATTGAGTTTAATCATTTGTATTACCCAAATTTCACGATTTTAATTGGTTAAAAGTAACAGGCGACTATCGGGTAATCTCGTGATGTGCTTGGCCTCATGTAATTTTTCTTCTACATTCTTCTACATTATCTCTATTATTCATTATGCAAATCGACTTTCATTTATAATTGAAAAATGTCAATCATGTCAAAATATACATGAATTTAATAAAACTCATTTTTTAAAAAAAATGTAAATATGGGCTGTTTTAATTGGAGACACCCCATATGTTTAAAGTACTTTTTGAGAAAAATCGTTGCAGAAAGGCGTCAAATTTCGCTGTTCAAATTAATCCAAAAATATTCCACCAACTGCTTAACATCCCTACACATTAGGGGATTGATTTTTTGCGTAAGATTTACAGGCGTTATGGGGGACTCACATTATGCAGTGTTTGGTAGAAAACACCAATGAAAGTAGGGAATTTTTTATCTAATGATTATCTGCAGTCAATATAACAAGCGTATCGAATTTATTCACAGTACGTACATAGGTAGAATTATTTGTATCAATTAAAATGAGTAAAGAGTAAGTTAATAAGGCGTTGTTTTTTTACTTATGTTTTCATTTAGTTCATATACCGTATGTCGGAATGGAATTATTGTAGATTTAGAATATACTTAGATTAATTTCGAGTAAAAGATTGTTATAGAATTCTACACTATTACGAGGTGAAAAGAATTCAAATGATGACAATTATTATCACAAGGAAAATTTCTTTTTACATTTACTATGATTTTTGTCACACGAATTTTTGCAATTACATTTGACATTTTGTTTACCAGCGAAGGCTTCTCAAATTATTATGAGCATCATCCAACTCTGAAAACCTGCAGGTCTGAGAATGGCTCCGAAAGTAGGTACTTTCAGTACTTACCGAAATCGAAAGTCTACCGAAAATACTTTCGAACAAGGTTTGGTTTACCGAAATGTTCGAAAGTCGAAAGTCCTCTCAATTTTTATCTTACCCAGGTGCGCCAACAAAATTTCACGCTCACGTGACGATCGAAAAATTATTTAAAATTCATTTAGGTTA